CAAGAAAAAAAAATGATACCAAAATCTATTAACTCGATAATGCATTGAGTGGATGAATCTTAATTTTAGTTTTTTGGAGGAAGAGATTTTATATTTCTTAAATTAATTTTAAGCATATTTGTGATCAATTTAACTCTTTTATAGAGATAGTTCAATCAAGATCCTATATGATTCCACTAAAGAAAGTTCGATAATGGAACTCGTTAATCTTAATTATATGTCTAAATACATTTTATGAATTAAAACAAACTCTGAAAGCATGATACAACAGTATCACTAAATATCTAACACAAAGTGGCTATTCTATGGCACATTCTAACTCTAGTTTATTATACTTGCTTGAGCAAGAAAATTGACTATTGTCCTACTATATCTAGATGACTTAATTATTACAAAGGAGCAATGATCAAAAAGTTTCTAAACAAAAAAAAAATTTATCAATACACTTTCAGATGAAAAAGCTCTAAGAGCCCAAACATGTCAAATGCGAACTAAACTTGACACTGAAGGAAGCTAATTTTAAATTTTATGTTTATGAAGGAAGAAATATAAAAGATGATACTATGTAGTGTCAATTATTCAGAAGTTTGAGCTTTTTGATGTTGACTCAACCTGAAATCTCATTTGCAATTGAAGGGATGAGTTGATATATGCAGAATCTTTTGAACCTTTCTTGGGAGTAGTTGACAAGTTATAAGATGTGTTGAAAGTACAATTGATTATCTAATTTTGTACAATAAATAAGAAGGATGAAAGTTTGTTGGATAAAATAATGTTGACCATGTGAAGATCACATTACTCGTCCATCACCTAAAAGATATGCGCTTAAACTCACCTTTAGAATACTTTTTAAAACAAAAATAGGCGATTAATATTGCTACGATCGACTACAAAAATAGTGTGCAAGTAACAACTTTGGCTGCCCAAGAAAGTACATGTTGGATATAACTGAAGGAAGATTTACATCAACTAAATAATTATGTAATATGTTTTTACTGTGAAAATCAAATAGTAGCACACTCAACAATATATATATATATATATATAT